AGACCCGCCACTCGCGGATCTTTTAATCAAAACTCTTCGAAAATTTATCGCCGGCAATTAGACACAGGGCGGGGGGGTTAACTGGAAAGTTGGGCGAGCAAAACGACGGAGATTTCGGCGGATTCGCGCTGAAGGGAATACGTCGCGGAATCGAATAATATCGGCGAGTAGGAAATTCGCCGGGGCGGAAGTCGGTGATAAAGGAAATCGTTATTTAAACGGCCGGCGCGGCGTTGCCCCGGTAATTAATAACCGAACAAGTTGCCGCTGCATCGAGGGTAATTTCGGTGATTACTTTGCCAACGATTACTGTCGGGGGACTTTGCGCGCGGACGTGATTCTGAAGTTTCCGTGAGCGGCGTGCTAAATCGTTAATTACGATCACCGCGATTAATCACCCCATTGGCGACGACGGCAATTTAACCGACACACCGGGCAACGCCGCGAGATGTAAACAAGATTTAAAGGCGATCCGCCGTGAAATACGTCCTTTGATCGACGATCGGACCATTCCCGCTGCGAATCTGCCTCTGCCCAGTGTGCCCCCGGTGCTTTTTCCACCGGCAAAAACGAGGAAAGGCGCGGGTGAAAAATTCGTCGATGCGCGGAAAACACCGCGGGCAACGTTTTATCTTTCCCTCTGATTTATCCCTGTTCATCTTCCGCGAATAGATAAATTTTCAACGCGATTAAAAGTCGCGCCAGGCTCTCGATATTAATAGGCCAGATACACGCCGTGTTTTACGAGCTTTCAAAGCTGCTAATAGATACAACTATCTGCGAACGGAATCGCGAGAAACGCCACCGGTGAAATCGGCCAGTGCTCCCGTCCATTTTCCCATTTCCCATCGCTCGGCCTACGCGTTTACGTTTTTCCTTATTTCGTCTGCGCCAACGGGAATCCACCCCTGGTCATTCGATCCACGATCGTGCTCGGTTCTTCGTGCTTTTCGCTTTGTTTACGCATTTCGCTCCGGAAATTCGATTCTTTCGGCAGCGTTTGCGTATCGCTCGCTGGCTAGATTACGTCGATCCCTGTGAAAATTAACCGCGTATCCCGGGACAGGTGTATAATTCGACGGCGAAAATCCACCCTAATTGCTACGCGCGCTTCGATTCGTGGAACGAAACACGCGATTCTGGCTGCAACGATAATCCAGTCGATGTACAGTCGATCTGACGGAAGTCACGGTCGTGATTTCCGGCATTCCTTTAGCGTTAAACGTCGAAGGGAAGATCGCTCCTACCCTTCCCGTTCCCACGGCAGCGTGGAATTAACCACGCGTCTGGCGATTCCCTTGGCCCGGGTTGCATTAACTTTCCGGATCGCGAGCACACCCTCCAGCGAAATCCAATTCCGGGGAATGCGGTCATTTTCGCGTCTCTTTTCGTCTCTGTTTCTATCTTACGTCGCCGTGGGCGCCACTTCTTCGGTTACACGCCGCCACGACCGAACAAATGGACCCGGCGTTTCCCACGAACGGGCACGTTACGTTCGGGTTGCTTTTGCTGAGCTTTGGAGTAGATAAAATAGGGGTGAGGGAGAAGCGAGCGGAGGGTTTTCGGAGGAACGAAATCGGAGATGGATTCCGATTCACCGACGATTCGCCTGATCGAGGGGGTGGTTGCGGATGAAATCTCGAGTTAGTGGACAAAACAGTCGAGGTGTCGACTGTGCGATTTGCCTCTTGTCGAGTTATTCTTTAGCATAAAGTCTCATCTTCTTTATAAAGAAGATTAATCCATTTTCGCAATGGCGAATATCAGCTCTTGGAAGAGGTACGACCATTTACTTGCATATCTGCTTATCTAATATTACGTAAGGTGGAAAAATGACAAGAGAAATTGAAGGAAATAAAAATAAAAATGGATTAACTGAGAAAATACTGAAAAATTCGTAATAACCCCTTGCACTACGATGCCGAGTGCAACTCGTCACGAATTCTTCGTGACTATAAGCTATACTAATCACGCGACCATGATTATATTTCTCGCGTCTCAACGTGCACACTATTCGAATAATTGCTAAAATTTGTATCCAATTTTATCGCAGATAAGGGTGGTTAATTAAAAAATAGTACGCCACTGGAAATAGCGGTTAATTAAAATTAAATCATAGTGCAAGATGTTGGAAATTCAAGTGACCGAGTGCGACATGCCAAATACGGAATTTTCATTCAAAAATGAAATATAATTTATTACTGAAAGTAAAAATGGACTTGGGGTTTCATACTTAATTAAACATTACCAACGTCACCCTAAATTACGACAAAAGAAGTAGACACGAGGATCCAATGATCCAATACCTTGGACAGCAGTCCTTCCAGGGAAGAATTTGACAGAGAAAAACGCGGATGGGGACAAAACTAATTACCAACCCCTAAGCGAGATCCAAATCGTCCGTGAAGATGATCGAAGACGATTCGATATTCCTCCGGACGAGTAACTTGACTCGACAGCCCTCTCGATACCGATCTAAGGCAAACATAGGGCGTCCACCCTCTCTGCCACGGAACAATCGCATGGACGAGACATGGCCGATGATCCCGGTGATATTCGCGGGACAGACAACCGCGAAGGTGTCACGTTGTCCAACGTGGACATGCACGTACACGCAGGTGGACAGTGTCGTAGGCACGGGTACACACAGGTAGAGGAGAATTTGGCTCGATATCGCAGCCACGAGCTGGGCCCAGTCGATCGTGCCACCGGCAGGCCGGCCAACATAACGCATCCGTGTTCACCGGTACAGCCGGGGGATTACCAATGAGGCACGTCGGATTACCGCAGTTAGCGGTGTTCGTTAGACCACTATTTTAATTAAGACTATTATACGCGTGCTCGGCTATTCGTATCGCGGCGTCGGGACGGCCGTTACGTGCGCGGACCGTTAAAACGCGCGGCCCCGCGACGCCAATTCGTTTCGCGGCCTATCGATTCCGATTATCGACGCGACGCCTCAGTCTGCCGCTTGCCGACGCTTAGTCCGCAGCGAAATCGCAGCTTTGGGCTTAGTCGCGGTATAGAAAAAGCTTCGAGGCTCCTGCGAGGGAAATTTCTGAGAGAAGAGTCGATGCAATGGCTTTCGGATCGATATAAGATCGAATTACCGGCACGATTGGCTTTGGATACCCGGATCGTGAAACTTGACGCGAAAGGTATTGTACGATAGTAACCGTATTCGTTAGTACTGGAGAAACAAAGCAGCGATCGGTAGAAATCTATCGACACCGCTTGCCTTCACCCTTTCGCTACTATGGGGTGACTATAGTCACCGGCCACAAAAATTGAGCAAAAAGTTAAGGCAAGTGCTATCGTTCTTCTTAGCTCTCTTCGCAAAGAAGCTATAGGAAATGCGTGATTGAGAAAGAAAGCTGGAGTATGAAAGAAGACAGAGTACGAGGTTTAAACGAGGGTGCAAGGGCGGTCCTAGAGCAGTCCTGTTGGTGAGAGTTGTACACGAGGTTTGAAAGAGAGTCGAGTTGATGACAGTTCGAAGAGTTGACGTGCGAGTGTGAATAGCGTTTAGTCTAATCTTCTAGTTCGTATTTTATCACGAATAAGATATATTGGAATTAAATAACATCCTTGATTCCCTATATTTCCCAATCAAAATATCTCCTACTGTTCACTCCCTACACTCATTCCCAATTCACAGACCGTTACGATCCTCTATAAAGACGCGAATCCTTCAAATAGACATTTTAACTAGCATCTTTCGAACCTCTACCTCCATCAGGAAAAACCCAGACCTCTACCTTATCCCTATTTCCATGCATACTCTCAGGAACAAGGGACCCGAATCGAAGGGACGATGGTTTACTCGTTTATAACCAGCGTCCCACGATTCGCGGACACCTCGACCTCCGAAACTGACCCCCCGAGTCAACCCCCATAAAAGGATTAGAATTTCCTAAACCTAAAAACAAATTAACAATTTGTTTAAACTTCCACTTCCACCTACCAGTTCCGAACCTCATGCACATCCCTCCAACGAACACGCCGCCAATAGGAGAAAAAACACACCCACCACTTAGACATCTCGACAGCCAATGACAGCAACAGACGAACATATAAAAATACACGACACCAAGACGACAGACAGTACAAACATCAAAACGACACAAACGACACCACGATAGAACGCATATCGCTAAGACATATTGTAAATTGCTGTAAATATCTTGTAATTAAATTATATTGAAGCCCTCAAAAATAGTTTACGTTCTCAAAACGACGTAAACCTTCGTCTGAATTCTTCATACAATCGACAAGAAGATTGGGACGAAAGAAGTGCTATCGTTCTTCTTAGCTCTCTTCGCAAAGAAGCTATAGGAAATGCGTGATTGAGAAAGAAGACAAAGTACGAGGTTTAAACGAGGGTGCAAGGGCTGTCCTATAACAGTCCTGTTGGTGAGAGTTGTACACGAGGTATGAAAGAGAGTCGAGTTGATGACAGTTCGAAGAGTTGACGTGCGAGTGTGAATAGCGTTTAGTCTAATCTTCTAGTTCGTATTTCATCACGAATAAGATATATTATAATTAAATAACATCCTTGATTCCTTATATTTTCCAATCAAAATATCTCCTACATACATGTACCAATTCACTGCCCAGTTACTTTAACACATCTTGCGCGAGAAGAGACTACAGTCGTTTTGCACGGATTATTATTATCGATGGGCTTTTGTAGTATTTTTACAATAAGATCGGATACACATAAGTGTTAATTGTACTTCATAGCTAGGAGCGTCTATTTAGCCCGCTACGCGGTAAGAGTTTGACGGCAAAGTACCCGCGTCAGATGTGTTAATAAAATTATAACACAATCGATTAGAGAAAACAAACATTCCCGATACAGAAACTCCGAATAATCGATCAGGAGTTCAATTATCGACGGACCCCAATCATCTTTGCCCAGTATCCAGATTGAACTCCCAGATCTTCGCGTCCGCGACAACAACCAAGACCCCAAGAGAAACAGTAAGTGTCGCACTCACCTGGACGTAATCAACGAGCAAGTGATTCTGGGAGAGGCCCACGCTTCCGGCGACCAAGGTGCGCACTCGTAGAACCACAGCTCGCGGCCGGAAACTGCGCCGAAGACGCTGCGCCACCCCCCGGTGCATCCGCTTCCGGCGCCGAATCCGCTGCCTGCTCCTCGCGAGGTACTGGCGCTGCTCCCTGCTCCATCCTCGCTGCTCTCGCTGCTGGCACGTCCGTTCTGTGGACAGATCGCGCGTACGCGGCTCGTAAATCTTTCCCTCTGCGGGTGTCGCGCGTGCACGCGTGTTCGCGTGTACAGAGGCGCGCGCGGCGCGGTGTGGGTGGACAAGAACGCGTGCATGCGCGTATAACCTGTAGCAGCCGGCTGATCGCTGCGGAAATCGTGATCCGGCACGATTCACGTCCGTCGGAAATGCTTCTTTCGGGGACACGCGCGCGCGCGGAGTCGAGGCGTGTGAGCTCCGGGCAAATTTGCGTGCCGGAGAAATTATGCGAGACACCTGCTCGGCCACGATAACAACACGCGGCCGGAATTTGCGATTTCTCCTTCCCTCGGGTGCAGTCGTGCACCCTCTGCCCCTCTGCCGACCCTTTTGCCTCCTTTTCGCTTGCACTCGTACCGAACGAGCGCCAGTGTGAGTCTCCTATACGCGCGTACACGCGTTCGACGAACGGTGAAGGAGAAAGATGGCGTATTAGCAAGGGAGGGAATTCACGGACTGTGTATCGTGGACGGGAGACAGGAAGGAAAGGACGGGTTAGACGGACGCATTGGCAGTTTCCTTCTTTCCCAGTCGCATTCCACACATGCGTGGTTCGCAAGGACGAAGGGAGAAACGCGAGAAACGGGGCGAAAGGAAGAAAGAGCCCGCGTGTCTGCCGTTGGGAGAAATGTAGCCTCATAAGTGTCAAGCGCATTTTCCCGCTGCCACTTATCCAGGAGACAATATCGAGCGGAGGAGGAGCGCGTGGCCTGCGCGCCGGATGCAGTCGTGCAAACACCGTCGACCTCGTGTCCTCGTATCGGCCGAGTAACGGCAATTAGCCGCGCCCGATACAACGACCCGTGTGTCCCACGTGTGCCCCGTCATGTCCACTGGCCCATGTCCGGGCTCTGCCTGCCTCTTTGACTTCCCTTTCCCTGGTAAAACGAAGACTCACCCTTTGTCTCGACCGCTTCGAAAGCATCGTCGTCCGTTGCTTTTCCCCCGTAATACCATCGCGCCTCAACCCCGCGCCCCCGCGAGATCATCAGGCAAACCCACACGAATCCGGCAGCCGTTCAATATTTCAAAGCGATTCCGCGTTTCTGGGCCGCGATAAAAGCGGCTTATCGGCGAATCGGCTCTCCCGGCATCGATTTAACGTCGAACGCCTTTCCGGATAGCCGCAACGTCTCGACCCTAATTCCACGGACGAGACATTAATTTCCAAGCGGCCCGTTACGGACACGCGAGGCCCGGCCAACCTCTGGATCAACTCTCGCCGCCATCCTCGACGTCGTTAATATTTCACCGGCAGCGAAATAAGGTTCTGGCTAGCGAGCAGAATTACCCAGGTTTGCCGAGCGAGCTTTTAAAGCACGGCCGACGATAACGTTTTGTCCGCTATACCGGTGAATTATTCGAGGCTAATTCAGGGGTTGAACGATGCTCGAAGCGCGTCAAGGGGACAGTGACATTGAACGGGTAAGGAGAGGAGCCGAGGCTGTTTTCATTTCCCGCGGACAAAGAGCTCGTTAAGGATCGATCAAAATTTCACGCGGTCCGAGCTTCCTTTCACGCCTGCCACCCTCGCCTGCTTCCGGTTTCCCTCGATAAAAAGGGATCGGAGAGTTCGTCGTTTGCCACGAGCTCGTTCCGCAAAGTGTCGTTAACCATCGCAGAGGATTATGGGAACCCGAGTTCCTTCCACCGGTTACAACGAGTATACGCGAATCGCGCGATCGTAAATTCGAGCGTGACCACGGGTGGATGCAGTGCGCGACAAAGCAATGCTAACGCCACGTATGCATATATGTATACACGCACTCGTACAATGTACCCGGTACTTAACGATACACGGGATTATTAACTACGGTTTACGCTCCTTCCTACAAATTTCACCCGCTTTGCGCGAAAAATCGCTGCGACGAAGCGATAACACGGGCACGAGGAAACAGATCAACGAGATTTCGCTTTTCGAAAATCACGAGGTTGGTGGAAAAAATGCACGTCCTCTTAGGTTTACGAAACCTAAAACGAATGAAAATTTTTTCAAAAATATTGTGGGCATTATCCTTCGCGTGGGGACCATCGTTCTGAAATCGCCAATAAATGGATTCTAGCGTCAAGGAGGTTCGAGGACTCGCGAGAATAATGTTCTCTCTTGATTTCTATGGTGATGCCAATTGCTATCCTGATGACCGTCTTGCCACGATAGGTAGTAGGTAAGAGGATCCAAGAAAGGGATGCGTTTCGTCCTGTGCCTGTTAATAGACTCGTCAAGGCTTTCTAGCAGGCCCTGCCTTAGACAGGGCATACACTTAGCATAGGAATTTGTATTTATGAGAATCGAAGATTTACTCGAAGTTTCGTTTCCCATCTAGGGGTGAGGATATGAACGTTGGTTGAAAATCACGAGGTTGGTGGAGAAACTGCACGTCCTCTTAGGTTTACGAAACCTAAAACGAATGAAAATTTTTTCAAAAATATTGTGGGCATTATCCTTCGCGTGGGGACCATCGTTCTGAAATCGCCAATAAATGGATTCTAGCGTCAAGGAGGTTCGAGGACTCGCGAGAATAATGTTCTCTCTTGATTCCTATGGTGATGCCAATTGCTATCCTGATGACCGTCTTGCCACGATAGGTAGCAGGTAAGAGGATCCAAGAAAGGGATGCGTTTCGTCCTAGGCCTGCTAGTGGACTCAAGGATTTCTAGCAGACCCTGCCTTAGACAGGGCATACACTTAGCATAGGAATTTGTATTTATGAGAATCGAAGATTTACTCGAAGTTTCGTTTCCCATCTAGGGGTGAGGATATGAACGTTTGTCGAAAATCACGAGGTTCGTAGAAAAACAGTTTGCCGCCCTAGGTTTATGAAACCTAAAGCAAATAAAAATTTGTCCAAAAATATTGTAGGCATTAACCTTCGTGTGGGACCATTGTTCTCAAATCGCTAATAGATGGATTCTAACATCAAGGCCGTCTTGCTATGATAGGTAGCAGATAGAAGGAAGCAAGGAAGGGATGCGTTTCGTCCTGGGCCTGCCAGTGGACTCGTTAGTAAGACCTTCTGGCAGACCCTGCCTTAGACGAGGGGTACTTAGGTAGCATAGGAATTCGTATTTATGAGAGACGAGGATTTACACAAACTTCTGTTTCCCATCTAGCATTGAGGGTATGAACGTTAGTCGCTATAGTATTAACCCTTTGTATATATACGACAGTCACTTATTGTTTCACAGCGGCTGACATCGTATATAGACAGCAATCATTTATTGGTCAACAGCCGCTGATGCCGTCTACATACGACAAATCATAATTATATTAATAATTACTAATATGTATTACTCGTATGTACACTTAATAATTACTAATATATTTATGTATATGTAACATGTATTAGTAATGTATATATTAATTTCAATAGCGAATTCAAAATAAAGCTATACAGGCATTAGGCAAAGCAGAAAATGGTGACCAAGTATGGTCAGTCGCACCATCGCGAAAAGTGGCAAAGTACGGTACAGGTGCGCCGTCGCGAAAGGGTTAACCTTCTTCTTCAAAATCAAATTTGATTTACAACGCGACGATTAACTTTCTCCGAAATATTCCGCTTAGGAGTTACCAGGGAAACGCTGAACATCGCGTCCTATCATTTTCCCGCGAAATAAAAATCGCGAGGAAGGTTTAAAGTATCGGTTAGCCGAAGGCTTAGAACTTTTTCGAATTCACAGGGAAGGCGTTCAATTAAAAGCGTCGAATTTCCAATAGACACTATTCGTGTCCGATAGTCTGGAACTCGGTTTCCCGGTAAGTCGATCGCGGGACTAGATTCGCCGGAGTATCGGCCGAATTACGGAACGGAGAGGCCAGACAAGGTCGACGTTAATCGTCGTACAAAGTAGACGATGGAATCGCGGCGGAGACTGGAGGAAGAGGCAACTTTTCTCCGCGATGGAACAACGTTTTCCCTCGGAGGAAGGAAAGCGGCAGGAAGCGAGGCTGCAAGGCGCTCCCCGTTCTCCAAGAAAATTAAGCCAATTAACCCCTCGAGCTCGGGATGGAGAGAAAAAGAGAGACTCGCTGTCGGCTGGCAGCGGTCCAGCGACTAAGGCTGGCTCTCGCCTGTTTCCGAAAAACGTATCGCGCGATCCGTCGTCGATGGAACTTCCGGCGATGCGTCTTCCGGCCTAGACACAACGGCAATTAGAAAACCGCTCGCGATTAATCAACCCTCTTCTCCCATCCGCGAGCGGCCATCCTCGGAAGCTGAGGGCGAAGGCTGGTATGGGATTTGGCGTTTTAAAATGGAAGTAACGCCATAAAATCCACTATGCAAGTGATGCTTCCAATGACCGCGCAGTGGAGACCTGCGAGGCGTGGAAACTTCGGTGAAGTTGACGGGCCTGCACCGGTCAAGACCACTCACACCTCACCTCTTCGATGGTGCCCTTGGGATCCAGTGGATCGCTGTCCTCGCGCTCCCGCGCGTACCACTGGATGCGGAAGAGAGAATGGCAATATGGGCCATGGAGACCAACGGTTGGGTCTTATATCTGTAGCGATCATGATTTTCACCCTCGCCACTAGAGGGATTCCGACTTCGAGGACTGTCTCGCAAGTCTTCGAAAAATCTCCAAATCCTATATATATAAATTCCTGTCCTTCCAATAGTATCCCAGTCTAAGGCAGGGTCTGCTAGGGTAGCCTTACCGATGAGTGTGCTAACAGGCTCGGGACGAAACGCATTACTTCCTTCTCCTACCGTTTTTTCTAGCTACCCCACCAACGAGGATACCTGCGACATCAACGACCATGGGGGAGGACCCCCTCACTTATCCATGCCAGACCTGAAGTGGCCTAAGAATAATACGTCAATATCTAGTATCTCCCCCTGGGCGTACTCCTTGTAATACAGGGTCACAAGTGCGGGTTGACTTCCCCGTTGGTTGGACCATGTCAGTTTCATTGGTAGAAGCCGATTAACCACTTGCGCTGGAAAGACGTGTC